AACAATGTGTTTTAAATAAATATACAACATAATATGACATATTAGCAAAATTATATGACATACTTCCAGACGAAAGTAAACTATAATAAAGATATAGCTGGTAACTAAAGATGGTTAGGTATGTATAAATTTATAAAAAAATATTTTGAATAATCATTTTGGAGATCGTTTGACTTTCTCAGGTTAAATAGTAATATAGTTAAAAAAAGTTTAAAAAGTTAAAAACAAATTGTTAAATTAAAATGTGAGTGTTTATTTTTTAGTCCATAACTTTAAAATCTTTGGTCAATTAATTCTTTTAAATCTTAGCCAAATTCTATTTTTTGGCATCAATGTAAAAACTTTATTAGAATATCTTTAGAGGAATTTCTGTTTTTTTTACATGGAAATACTTCAAATTTTGTTAATATTTCAACAAAAGCCAATTTCATTTCCATCTCTATTTTTATTTCTGGTTATCGGTTACCGGTTACCACGACGATTTTTCAGTTAACATAAGACGCTATAATAACACCTTATCTTTGACCGGTTAAGAACCGATTACCGATATTTATTAACACCGAGTACCAACTACGGTTAGTGGTCACTTATGAACTATAATTTTATTAAATAAATTTCAATTTAATGATGAGCTCATATAAGTGTATAAGAACTATAATATTTTATTTCCTAAAACTATTCTTAAATAATACTTTATAGGTGTATTAAGGTTATTTTTAGAGAACCGATATTGAATCGATTACCAGTAACTGACGTTTTTTTGTAGCGGTTATCGCTTAATAGGTAACCTACTAACCTGTAGTATTGAATATAGGACCGGTAATAAGTTACCGCTAATTACAGGGCCAGCAATTTCGGTAACGGTTTCAAGCCCTGCCTGCCCTGCCCGGGCAATAAGTGTAATTATTTGTTTTAATAAAATATCAAAATAATAAAATTAATAAGCAAGAACTTAAGAGGGAAATAATGATATTAAATATTCGACTAAGCGTCGATAAAAAGCAATAAGATAACTATAATTAGGGATAGAAAATTGATGAATATTATATTATTTTTTCCTTTGATCCTATAAAATGCGATCTCAGCTAAAATTTGTTTCGTTTCATCCTTCCTTGATTCAGAATATATCGATACTAATTTTCTTTCACATTTTTTTTTATGAATTTTAGCTATAAATGATTTTAATGTTTTTTATACGTTATTTTTTTTTATATTTTTGTATCATTTTTTTCATATTCGTATTTTTATAGTTATTATACAATGTGGAGTATTTTTATATAATAAAATAATATTTCAAAACAATTACAGACATAATATGTGTTACATGATTAATAATTAATATATTTACAAAATATTTGTATGGTAATATAAGTTAGAGATCCCATTACTTTTTTCAGAGTGAAGTGTGCTTTAGGAATATAATATTTTCTAGCATGAGTAAAGGCATGTTATATCGATCCGAAATATGAAAAAGTCCGTTTCTGTCACGGTTGGACTTACGTTAACTACCGTGATATATCATTTATTCCCAAAACATTTGAATAGGTATGATAAGAAAGAGAAAAGGAGACCGTTAAAGCATATCACAATATAAGTAGAAATTATATGACATGTGATGTATTAGGAAATGCTCAGAAATCAAATATTCAAATATTTTGTACATTTTTCAATAATAATTATACATCATGTTCGAATCTAATCCAATTAGATATTGCATACTTCTATATCTCGTCTAGTACACAAATCCAAATTTGTATGCATAAATACAATTTATTTGCAATTATTTTCAAGAACAATTTTATTGTTTTATCGTTTCACTCAATATTTGAAATTTAAGTGGTGTCTTACTAAAAAACAAAAAATGGACAGTATTTTGATCTAAACATTTATTTCAAACAAATTATTGTGAAACCAAAGACACAAAAATTAACTTAAACGTAATTGATTTATTAAAGTTTTGTTTAATATTTGAGTCATAGGTATACCGAAAAAAAAAAAAAAAAAAGAAAACAAAATATCATGATTCAGTTTCTGAGGATCTATAAAATATTTACTATCGAAATATGCATTGAATAAATTGTAATTACAATTTTTTCGACTTTTCCAGTATTATGTTGTCAGGTAAACGGTATGTCTGTGATGCTTTTCTGAGCAAAGCAATTAAAGGAGAATACTTACGGAGCGTTTCTAGGGAAAAAAAAACATTATTCGTAAGATAAGACGAGACTAGAAATTGTCTAAAATATGTTGCTTCTTAAATAATAGTTATGGTCATTATTTTAGGGGTAACATTTAGGCAATTTCTAATCTTGTCTTAGCCACCCGGGATCTATGTATTAGGTGTAAATGATTATTAGTGTGAGTGAAATTAAATGTGAGTATCCTATCTCGTACGCGCATGCACATGTCAATAACTCGATAACTATATCAATTTCACTACACGAATTTTACAAAAACATACATTTGTTTTGACAAAATTAAAGTTAGTTAACGTTGTCTGATTTTTATTCTGAAAAAATATTTGAATTCAGCAGAAAAATAAAATATCTATAGATCACACGAAACAGTTTCCGTTTTTAATAATAATTTTAATTTTAACGATGATTCGAAAAAGTTGATATTTTCAAGTTTTCAATTACAATTGTCAATTCACAATGATATACAATTTAGTTTTTACAAAATGCTTCGTAGGATCTATAGACAATTTTCTGGTGAGTTCAATTTTTTTTTCAGAATAAAAATAGGATTACGTTAACTAACTTTAATTTTGTCAATACTTTGGGTCTTTTCAGTTAAAATTGACGGCAGTAGCGAGGCCCTTTAAGGCCCCTGCAAATGTGTCATTTTTAAGGAGTTGTGTATAGGCAATTATTTTGTTCGTTCGATTACTGATTGTCTTTGTGTGTATAGTAAATTATCATTAGTGTGTGTATACTCCCCCACCATCACCTGCACATCAATTTGCAATTCATTATTATTTATTATCTGGTTTAAGGTGGCACGCACGCACATGCACAAGTCATTAAATGTCATTAGATCAAAATATTCAAAACCAATTTATGGACGTAAGATAGCCGTCACACTGACAAAAATTAAGGTATTTCTAGTGGTTCGATTTAAAAAATGTATAGATGTTTGTGTTGGTAAACAAGTTTACTTTGCATCGGTAGGAGCACTTTTTCAATTTTAGCAAATTCTGGACGAGAATAAATATTTTACATTTTATAAATTTATAAATTTTTAATATTTAATATATTTAAAAATATCCAAAATATAAAAAAATATGCTCCTACCGATGCATAGTAGACTTGTTGACCAATTAAAACATCTTAAAATTTTTTTAAATCAAACCATCAGAAGTACTTTAATTTTTGTCAATCGCTAAGGTCGTTTTGATAAAAAATTAATATGGTTTGCAGGGTCCTTAACGAACGACACACAACGAAACATACGAGCACATAACATTTAATCAGATTCACAATTATTATAGTTCAGTATTATTTAGCCAATTCTTTGCGCAGTGTTTTGTCATAATAAACTCAACATTACATTTTGACGTTTATAGCAAAATGTACCCAAGTACCTACCTATAATTAAAATCAATAATTTAAGAAAATTTCATATTTTATATAGTTGAGATTAATTAGTAGAAAAAAAAACTAATCTTATTGTAAACGAGCATGTAGTAAACTTCACAAATAATTTGTAGTTTTTTCCCAGAAAATAATAGTAAAATTTTAAAATAACATATTCTGAAGTATCAAACTAAGTATCATGTTTTCGACTAATGGTATGGTATAGGACAACTTGCAACTTTTAAAGCACACTTTCGTAACAAGAAACGAAATTAGAACGGACAAAACTAATATCAAATAAAACTTTGTACACAAAAACCAACCATACGATATGTCTAATAAAAACGCATTTTGTTATGATTTGTATAATTAACCAAAACATATAGTGGGTAATGTATTATAATTTTTCATATTTTAAGTGTGCTTTAGTAATATAATGTTTCTAACATAAGTTAAAGGCATGTTATATCGATCCGAAATATGAAAAGTCCGTTTCTGTCACGGTTGGACTTACGTTAACTACCATAGTGTAATATAATGTATTCACTTACAGCTGCAGACAAGTACCCAAAACAATTGAATATGTTTGGCAATAATGGGAAAAAGTAGATCATATTATAAGTAGAAATAAAGGTATAAAAAATATGACACGTGATGTACTTGCTAGGAAAATATTATATTCACAAACCAAATTGCAATATTCAAATATTTTGTACCTTTTTGAATAATTCATACATCATGTTAGCATCTAATTAAAATAAATATTGCATAGTGTATCTATATATATATTATATATATATCTCGTTGACTCGTTCACAAATCCAAATTTGAATGCACTTATAATACAATTTATGAGGCACCGTTTTTCCCAAACAACTGTTTACTCATTTCGCTCTAAATTTTAAATTTCAACGATGTCTTACTAAAAAATTGAGTACCTACATTTATGACCAATAATTGTATTTGAAAAGAAATTTTAGTTTGAGCTTTGCTAAGTATTTAAAACCACTATATAACAGAGATTTCGTAACACTTTTCGCAAAGGTAAACTTCTGAGATAATTACCTCTACATCAATGTTAGTATGAAATAACTAAACTCGTTTTCAATAACAATTTTCTTAAAGCTGTTAATTATTTTTAAGTATATTTTTAAAAAATACTTCTTTAATTAACAAAAAATAATTCAAATAAAAATATGGAAACATAATATCACCAAATATTTAAATATGTTTATTAAATAATATTTAAAAATATTATACTCACGAAAGTCAAAACACATGATTATAATATTGTTGAAATTATACAATTAATAATATATAATATATTATAATAAAAGCTATTTCATTTTCTCAGGGTACGAACTATTAATTTTTTTTGTTCATATAGGTACATAACTATAATACAAATACAATCCTTAACTAAAATTAATCAATTTTTTGAAATCTTAACCAAATTCCATGTTTCGGCATCAACGTTAAAACTTTATTAGAATATTTCAGAGGAACTTCTGTTTTTTCACATGGTAAAACTTCAAATTTGGTTAACATTTCGACTAATGCCAATTTCATTTCCAGTTCAGCAAAACGTTTTCCTAGAGGATAAAAAAAATTAAATTATATATAAAAATATTTAAAAAAAAATGTTTTTAAATATCATGATTTAAATATTTAAACAAATATGTATTTAATAAAATATATGTACCTATACAAGTTCTAGGTCCACCACCAAACGGAAGATAAACACAACTAGGACGTTTAGCTCTTTCCTCAAGTGTAAATCTTTCGGGATTGAATTTTTGAGGATCCTCAAAATATTTACTATCGTAATGCATCGAATAAATTGGAATTACAACTTTTTGGCCTTTTTCCAGTATTAGGTTGTCAGGTAAACAATATTTTTGTGATGCTTTTCTGAACAAAGCAATTAAAGGAGGATACTTACGGAGCGTTTCTAGAAAAAATAAATATTATTACCAATAGTTGAACATTTTAATTAATTTAATGCTTCAAAAAAAAACCTGTATATTATTTTGATTCATACGTTCTCATTACATTCATATTTAATAATAAATTAATTTAAAACCAAATGATGTAAAATTAAAATATATATTTATATATAAACTTACAATTTATCATTGATTTAATACAGTATTATTTAATTTTCAAATCATCTACCTTGTCGGTTTGTTTAAAAAAAAAATAGATATTTTAATATTGATCAATAATATAATTAAGAATAATAATTAAATAATATTAACTACCCGCAATAACCATATCCAAGTAATTAAGACCCATCAAAAACTCGTTGTCAATTTGTCCATCATTTTTGGATAAATTTAACTGAATCTCTTGTCGTACTTTGTCTTGGATATGTATATTCAATGCCAATTCATATAAGCAATAACTTAAAGTGGTTGACGTTGTTTCAAACCCAGCAGCAAACATTACAAAAGCATTTGCTACAATTTGTGTTTCTGAAAATCGTTCTAAAACACATTTTTAAAATTGTGTAAGTACAACAATTACCATATTTAATTTTAATACTTTAAATGTAGAAATACTTTACCATGTTTTGGTAAATTTGGATTCAAAGTCAAATCATTTCTTGCTTGCATCAAACAATTAACAAAGTCATTTCTGACTATTTTATTTTCAAGTCTATAAGTTATCGTTTCTTTAAACGCCCCGTTAAAAAAGGCAGTCGCGTCTGTTGGGAAATCCTTCACTCTTACAACTTTCAAAAGAGCGGGGCTGACCATCAAGCACAATTCTCTGAAAAGGGTCCTTAGTGAAGGTATGAATATCGATTTTCCGTACTTACGAAATGGAGACTCATCATCGCTTATAGAGTTTAACTTGAGCCCAAAGGCACAAGTGCCAATAACGTCGGTCGAATACTTTCCCATGATGTCTCTTACTTCTATTTCATCGTTTTTTCCCAGTAAATCGTCATCGATGTTTTTCATCAATTTATCACCGCACTCTTTGATCTGGTCATACATAATCTTGAGTTTTCCCGATGTGAATGCGGGGCTCAATTTGCTTCTTATTGTTTTCCATCGAGGATTTTCCATGAAGAACAAGTTGTCCGACAGTGGATTCGCCGTTAAGTCCGAGTAAATACCGCGGTCGGGGAAAGACGAGAAGTCTTTTATTAGCATGTCGTTGATTATTTCTGGATCACGGACCATCAAATACGGTGTCCTCATCTGGAACAATCCTCCGTATTTCAGACCGGAAAACTTGTAATAGATTTTATCGTAAAACTCCAACGGGTGGTCTTTCGCCAAAGCTACTTTCAAAAAGTTTCCGAACAACGGAATCGGCTTGATGTAGGGCACGTTGAGTTTTTCCCATTTATTGAACGTTGAAATGCAAAAATAATAAGTGATCGTCACCGCGACCAAACACGGCGTGACGATGAATATCCAAAAATCGGTGGCGGACGAAGATGATGGATACATGGCCTTTGCGGTAGCTTACACAATTCTGAATATTGTTCAACGTACACAGAACACACTCGAATCGACACTGTTCTCACTGGCAGAAAACGGAGCATAATATTATAACGATAAAGACAATGATAAGGCACCAGCACCGTCGTATTTGGTGTGATTATCTATCTGAATAACTTCGCCTTTGGTGCAGAGCGCAGTTCAGCGAAATATTGTTAGAACGTGTGCGCGTGTGATTTTGTGTGTGTGTGTGTGTGTGTGTGTGTGTGTGTACCACCTCTTCGTGTCAAATTCTATCGATAGATAGATTTTTCTGCGTATTTTTTTTCTAGATATGACATTAATTTTTATTATTGTTTAAGGATGTAATGCACTTTAAATAAGCTAAAATCTTTTTATTACGAAAGATTAAATTTGATTTTGTTTCAAGTTTCTAAATCAAATAATTATATAATATACATACCATATTGTGCTTTAATACTTGGTTTTTAAATTATGCGTTGAATTATTAATAATTATTACATAATATTATTATGTCGTATAATTATTATTGTATTTAACTCAATTGAAGTTGCATACGGTAAAATATATCAAACCACGAAATCTTATTGTAAATATTTAGTGACATAATACAACATTACAATTTACAACTATAATAACAATAATAATAGTTAAATACTTTTGGACTGTCAACATTACAGTGCGTGTATAGTGTATAATGTTCATAGTTTTAGATTTAATACAATATTATAATAATATAATTAAGGTCTAAGAGCAGGACATCTATTTGTTTTCTTTCTCCGATCCACACAAAACATTTCGAGTTTACGTTCAGCATAACCAACCTTGTGTCTTAAGCTTCTATGTTAGAGGTAATTGACCTATACTCTATGTAAAGAATATTATCTGTATTGTTCTCGAGTTGACCTGTTTACGATATTTAAATTTAAACTGATATAATATTATGATCATTTTTAAATTGTAACATTTTACGTATTTATTTCTCCCACTAAAATGTAAATATCTTTAAAAAAAACCACGTAAGAATACAGATTAAGTTTTTAACTTTTAGTTTGATTATATCAATTCACTCTAATACTAAATCTAACAACACAATGTATTTAAATTTGCCTTGTTGCTCGTTCGTCAGAGAGAGAGAGAGAGAGAGAGAGAGCAAACAAACAGTACGCTGACATCCACATAAAGTGAAATAAAATATCTATGGTGAAATATTTATAATTTAAATAACTATTAAAATACATTATAATCAACATTTTATTATTTTGTAAATTCATATATTACATTTAAAATAATATTATAATATGAATTATGCGAAATGTATTTAAAAACTAAGTACCTAGTAAAGCATAATATACCTAAATTTATAAATACTGTATTTTTTTCAGAATATTATTATTTTTTATCTGTTGTAAATTAGTACAAACTATAACACTCATAACATCTATTATTATTATCAGAACGCATGTTACACACAATATTTAGCATACTAGGTAGGTTCTACGAAAAAATGTCTAATTAATCAAACCTATTTTATAAACGTTACCTAGGTATTTTGTTTTTATCACCGTGTGGGTACTGATCATTAAATAATAGTGTTATCGATTTCGTTATGTAGCATAGGTTGATCTCTTGTTTCAAAGTGATTTTTGTTTGTTTAGCTGACTCGTCAATCGTGTTATCTGCAACTCGGTGTTATTGCATAATTAAATTATTATAATTAATCGTTTTGCATAATTGATTATTGTATTTTGTTCCTTTCGTTCGATATGTATCATTTCTAGATCAGATATATTATACCTACTACCATTTAGGTTCTGTTCTAATAAAGTGATTAAGTGAAGTATTTCGAGTATTCGAGTGTCGAATACAAAATATGTTATTAAAATGTATTCTCAATAATTGGTGTACTATGTTGTGTTCAATTGTTTTCATTTTCAATTTTAAGAAATTCAATTTTTATGTTTTTCAAAAATATAACATTTACGAATATTATGCATTTTTTTGTTTTCTTGTATTACTTTTGTTTCTTCTACTGGTCAATTATTATTACTTAATACTTTTATCCTTTCGACCTAGCTATGATTTGACATAGTTACGACACGCTAATACTATACTTGATGATATACTTTTGGGGTATAATTAACTTATACATTAAATGTCCTTAATTATTACTTTGACAATTTATTAATTGTATTTATGTACTTGCTTTGATCTACGTATAATTAATTAATAAAAATAAACAATTTTTATTTTGTATACAACAGTATAAATATTATATTTAATTAAATCTTTATTTTATTGTAAGACATTTTAATGCCTACTTTATTTGAATAATATTTTACACTCATGAGCTAGAAATTAGAATAGTTAGAACAAGATAAGTGTACTACTGTACTTATATGTTTATGCCTTATGGTTAGTAATAAATACCCTTTATACGTATAAAAATGATTAAGTAAACAATATACATATTCTTATAAAATTAAAAGATGTTCGTATTGGTAACCACATCAATCACGAACTGCTGGACCGATTTGGCAAATTTTTTTTTGAGATGTAATATCCCTAATGAGGTTTTTACGGAAAAAAAAATTGGAAAATTCTAGAAAACCGAAAGGCTTTTTTTAAAGAGGGATTTTTCTATATAAATGGTTGCCACAGATTACATAATATAATATAATTAATTGGATAAAACGACGAATATAATTTTTTCAGCCCACGAAAAAAATATTCTTTTATAGGGTTGACATTATTTTGTTAAATATAATTATATTGTTATAATAATTAGTGGACATAATATGATGGATATTTTTTGTACAAATATATTTATAGAAAAAAAAAACAAATCTTTGGCACGGGCAAAGCCAGGTGGGACAGCTGGTATACGATAAGACTTAAACCAAGAAAATTCTACTTTTTACGTCAATTCCTATTTAGTTTAGGATCATTTTAGACGAAATAGCTATCTCACTTACCTCAACTAATATGAAACAGATAAGCTTAACCTCAATCGATTCCAATAGCATGCAATTATATTGAAGAATTTTAAATCGCCGCTTACAATCGTTAGTTTATTTTTTTATAAAAATATTTGAACTTCGAACATTTTATTCTACATCTCCATATTAAAATGTGGCTCATAAACCACCTGTATTTATTTATCTTAGATGAGTGATAACTTTGTGTAGTTTGTATAATATTATATTAAATTACCAAAGAATGGAAAATATAATAGAAAGCACATATTATGTAACAATTTTTCGAACAATAAAATCAATTATAATAACAAATAGCAGAAACAAGTGGAACATAATATGAAGCAAGCATATATAAATAATTACGAAGCAAAATCCATCAGAAAAAAGAGGCAATATTTATGTATAGTTAATTATTTTTCTTCTTATCTTTACTCTCGTAAAATGTTACCATCTTAGAACAGATAAACAAAAAAAAAAAAAAATCAAAAACCATTTTACGCTTGGTTTGAATATCATCGTGTGTACAATAATTATTAACAGAATATGATTATACAATAACCTATAAACGTAGGTCATATACTATTAAGCCGCCGATTTCTTTATCGCTATTGAACGCAATCACAAATCATGTAAATTATTTCTTTGACACTCACCGCTAATTATAATATTTTAATCAACGTTTTTTTATTGGCCTTTTTTTTTTTATCTATTACTTACCAGTTTATTGTGCTATGTAAAAAGAACTTATTTATTTCAGAATATATTTATTTTTTTGATACTACTTTTGAATTTTTGAACACTAAAATAGTCCCGAAGCCATTTTCTTTTGTTTTAGATCAACTTCAGATGAAACTAATTATTCTTTCAGAAGGACCAGTGACGTATTTACGGGGGGGCAAGGAGATCACCCCCCCCCCATAGTCTGTATATAGTATGCAACATTTAACTAAACTTAATTAACTAACTTAAGGCCTCTATATTTAAAAACGGGACTACTGGATAAAATCATATCCCCTCTCCATGACAAAACCTAAATACGCCACTGAAAAGGACATTAATAAATTAAATTTCTCGGTTATAATATCCTTACCTATACCAGAGTAAAAAAAATTACAAAAAAAAATTTGTTAATAAATATATAAGCTGGAAACGTGAGGTCTTAACAATCTACTGTAATATAATTAGAATATATTTGAAAATGAATGATTTTGTCAAGTTTTTTTATAATAAATATTAATTATAGATTTTAAATAAAAACCAACGTGGAGGTATATTGAATCGGTCCAGTGAATTTACATTATTCGCATACGTTTACCATCTCTACGTTACCGTATTTCACAAAATATTTGATGAGAACTATTCGCATTTCAACTCCATACTATGACGATATTTTTCTGAAAGAGTCCCATCCATTTATTCAACAAAAATGACCTTTCCCTCCCCCCACAAAATGTTTAACCGCTGCACCAAAGGTCACCAAAATATATCTAACTTATACCAACATTTACTGTACCTATACTGACTATCCTATTCTCCGGATAACACTTTTGAAAACATATTTGAATTCGTCTTAAAGTATACCCGAAAACGATTTTTAATCTTTTTTTGAAAATCCATAAACCCTTCAAAATTACATTTTATATTTCGAATATTAAGAATTCGATTGAAAATGTAAATAAAACACATGAGCAAGTAGTTTGTAAAGTAAACTTCGTGACGAATTTATGTATGTTTTCAGACATTTTAAAGGTGAAATGAATTATTTTTGGCATAATACAATCGATAAAAGATGGTACTTTTGATTGAAAACAAATTTTTAAACACTTTTCAAGTTTAAATTCGACGAAATTTGATGTTAAAATTCTTAGGTACTTGAAATTATTGGTTTATGCTTATATTAGTATTAACTTTCACAGTGAAATTTTCCAATAAATTTAGATTAATTTTAACATATTTGTAACACTAACCTATTCCACAGTTATAACGAGAATAGTATTGACTACAAATTTAAAAACAATTTTATATACCTAAGCTATGTTAATAATTGTAAAATAAATAACTATAACAGTTGAATAATTATGTCATAAAAAGTAGGCTGTTATAGTAGGAAATAGAGAAAATAACAAGAACAGAGCACTCAGAATAGCTTTTCAATGATTTATCCTAAACTGGGAAGGTTAAAGATAATTTTTAATTGAGTTGAAAATGTTATACAAATGTTATAGTTATTAGTTAATAGTTATCCTAATTTTTTTTAACTCAGTACAATTAAAAGTTATATGGAAACTTACAATTAATTTATTAACTTAGACCAATAATATGGTTTAAAATAATAAAAAGTAAATGTGTATGCAACATGTATCATCATTAATAATTATTGTATTGTACTATTTAATTATTTATATATTATCGTAATTTGGATTTGATTAAAAATAACTCATTATTTATTAAGTGTATATCAATAAAAATCAGTTATGTTAAAAATTAAGTAATGAAAATTGAATTTCAAAAAGTTAAGTTAAACATTGAAAGTAAACTCAACTTGATTAACTAAACTTTAACTTTATAACTCGTTTACGCAAAAGATTGGATTTACCATCATATTTTAACACATCCAACAGTTTTAACAGTGTCCAACTCAATGACGAACCCTACTGTAAAGTAGAGTGGTTTCATATTTTTTAATTCTAATAAAAACAATTTTTGAGTTATGATAGGGACATAGTATTATAGTATTAAAGTATAGTATTAAAGTTATAGTATTAAAGTTTTAGGAAATGAAAAATTTTATGACATTTTGATTACAAAATAAATAAATTTATGTATCGATAAATTTGAAGGAATTAGTTTATTCTTTGAATGTATAAATACCATGTACATATTAATTTATTATTGTACATTCTCATTGTAACACTAATACATTTCTCAGCCATTCAGAGTCTAAAAAACATGGTAAATATTATTACTATATTATTCATTGAAACCTCGAATACAGTAATCTTTATATTTTTCAGATACTGTATTGCATTATGAAACATAAAAAATAATCATAATATAACATTTTCCGTTTAGAGAAATATAGGAAATGTGATATTCTAGTAATTTATTCATAGATATACTCGTATAAATATCGTTGTTAGTTTAATATACTGAACTTACTTTTGGTATAAAAAAAATATTTAAAACCACCAATCCTGATCTTCATTGGCTTAACAACGTGTTTTAAACAAATATACACCATAATATGACGTACAACTATATGACATAAATCCAGGCGAAAGTAACTATAATAAAGATATAGGTTAGGGGTAACTAAATATTGGTAAGTTAGGTTGGTAAATTTATAAAAAAAAATATTTTAAATAATCATTTTGGAAATTGCATAGACTGTAAATGTTGTTAATGTGTAGGTATTACTTATAAATCACTAATACTGTAAATATATAAAAATAAATACCTAAGTACACAAATCACAACATCATAAAAATAAGTTAGAGCATACTTATTATCAATCCATGTAAAATGTATTACATGGTATTTTTATTTGATGCACCCTTATTTAATATTATGATATGAAGTATTTAGTGATGTTCAAATTATCTTGGATACAAAAAATAAAATAAAAATCGTTTGATTTTCTCAGGTTAAATAGTTATAATATATTTAAATTAGTTTAAAAAAAATTGTTAAATTAAAACATGAATGCTTTTTTTTAATCCATTACTATATAACATTTGGTCGATTCATTCCTTTAAATCTTATCCAAATTAAATGTTTTGGCATCAATGTGAAAACTTTATTAGAATATTTTAGAGGAATTTCTGTTTTATCACATGGAAATACTTCAAATTTGGTTAATATTTCCACAAAGACCAATTTTATTTCCATCTCTGCGAAACGTTTTCCTATAAATTTAAAAATATATATAATATTATTGCATTTGAATTATCCTATAAAAAAAAAATATATACCTACCTATGCACATTCGAGGTCCGTCACTAAATGTAAGATGAATGTCACTTGGCAGCTTTGCTTTTTCTTCAGCCGAAAATCTTTTAGGAATAAACTTTTTAGGGTCCGTGTAATATTTACTATCGTAATGCAATGCATAAATTGGAATTATTATTTTTTGGCTCTTTTCAATCATTAATGAACTGTTGGGTACTCGATATGTTTGTGATGATTTTCTGAATGAAGCAACCACTCTGATACTTACCGAGTGTTTCTAAAAAGTGTAAGAATTTTTTGAGTCAATTTATTATTAGATTTATACTGAAAAACAAATAGTCTTGCTTTATTTGAAAACTATTATTAACCTACTTGGATAATTCATATGGCAATTTTAATTTTCATAAATAGGGCTTATAGAATAAATCAATATTACATTTGATAATTATGTATATTTTTGTAATAGTAGGTCCCAATAACAACAGAGCTTGAAACCAGTCGGTGGTTCTTGCCGAAAACTGATAATTTCCCTTAATTTCAAACCTATTTTTACTCCCCGTCATAACATCATATTATGTTTTGACCGGTTAAGAACCGATTACCGATATTTATTAACAAAAAGTGCCAACTACCGTATTACTTATAAAATATAATATTATGTTTAATTTACTAAAGAAATTAAATAAATTAAATACATTTTAATTTAATAATGATATAATAATGCTCATATAATAATATGGTTTTTAGAAAACTGATATTGAATCTATTACCAGTAACCGACTTTTATTGAACTATTGAAGTGGTTATATCTTAATAGAATACAACTAACCTGTAGTATTGAATATAGGACAGCTAATAAGTTACCGCTTATTACAGGGCCAGCAATTTCGGTTACGGTTTCAAGCAGTGCCTGCCCTGCCCGGGCAATAAGTGAAATTATTTGTTTTAATAAAATATCAAAATGGCAAAATTAATAAGCAAGAACTTAAGAGAGAAATAATGATATTACATATTCGAGCAAGTGTCAATAAAAAGCAAATAAGATAGGTAATTATAATTGGAGATAGGATTAATAAATATTGTATTATTTTTCCCTATGATCCTATAAAATGCTATCTCAGCTAAAAATTTGTTTCATCCTTTCTTGATTCAAAATATACCTAATCAATTTATTTTGCATTTTTTTTAGGAATTTTTAGCTATAATTACATTTTAATGTTTTTATATCACATTTATAAATATTTTATTCATATTCATATTTGTATAGTTATTTTACAGTGTGGAGTATTTTTTTATTGTAAATTAAAATTTAAATTTAAATGTTTAAACATCCGTTATTACACACATACCTATCACTAATAATAATTATTATTTGTTAATTATTTTATTTTACTTATTTAAGTACATTTTCTTAGTCATATTACTTCCTGGTTGGAGCGATGAATGTACCTTGGATATGTTTTATTACAATTGTGTATTTTTATAATAATATATTTTCCGGTGGGAAAGAAAGTCTAGTTGGTGCAGTGGGGAGGTCAAAATTCCTAGTAGTTTTCATAAGACCCCAGAAAAAAAAACATGTAAACCAGTATTTTTACGAAAGAGGTTTTCGACAAAATCGATTTTGTTATTTAGTAGAACTCTAAAACAAAATAACCAAATATAGATACAATTTTCAATGAATATTTGTATGCACGATAACATTTTCGAAATATTGCTACTCTTTTTGAGCTATTTAAAGCAATAAGAAAATTTCGAGTTTTATTAGTTTTTTTTTAAAATATATTACGCTTAATATTTTACCAAATTTGAAGTATTTCCATGTGAAAAAACAGATATTCCTCTAAAATATTCTAATAAAGTTCTTAAATTGATGCCAAAACATGGAATTTGGCTAAGATTTAAAAGAATTAATTGACCAAAGATTATATAGTTATGGACTAAAAAAAAACATTCATGTTTTAATTTTATGCTAAAACTTTAAAATATAATACAGCGTTCCTCATAAGATGTTGTTAGTGGAAATTAAAAAAAAAGTTGAGAGTAAATCCACAATAACTTTTTATGAGCATCGAAGTTAAAATGTTGGCAGAAATCATTTAAATCACTGAAATTTTATAATTATTTTGAGTTTGAAATTTATTAAAGTTTTCTATTTGTACCTAAACTTTGGAAATGTAATACAAGATTACCATTAAGTTTTCCTAAATTTAACATAAAACTTTATTATAAAGTAAAATGAAACAAGCGTTTAGTGTTAGAAATTGTATATTCACCCGTTAATAAACACATTTTTATAGAATGCTTTCCTTATTCAACAACTAATAACTTAAATTACGATACTTGAAATTTACACCAAATTTGTATTTTATCACTCCCTATATTAAAAAAATTTTCAAAATAATTTGACTCGTTTTAAGATTCATTCTCATATTTTAATTTCTTTAGTTTTTTTTTCCTATAAATGTCAATAAATTGTATTCGTAATGTGAAAACACTTGAAAATATAATTAAAGACTGCTGATATATTATTACAACACCAGTTAAAAAATATTAATAATATTATTCGTGGGTACTTAAACATTCTCAAGTACATTATTATGTACAAATTTTAAAATAATATGATAATTTGCAAATAGTATTAATTTAATTTACCATCTACTATATTGCTTATAATACAATATAAATATAATATAAAATAAAACCCTGGGCTGACAAACCTTCCACGCTCAGAATCGTTTTTCATCAACAATGTAATTATATCATTGAATTCAAATTTACCACTATCCACTACAGTGATCCACATGTAACCACTACTGTACAACAGATCAACACCCACTTACCCAATCTTTTGAGTTAATATTTTTAGTTTTAAGAGAATTTTTGCTTGTTATTTAGGCCATCGATGTACCTAATATCTCTAGTTATAACCTAAAGTTACGTTTAAATAGAAAACACTTTAAATAATTTTATATTATGGGATTGTATATAACAAAATAATATTACCTGCTATAACCATATCCAAGTAATTAAGATCAATCAAAAGTTCATGGTTAATTTGTCCGTCATTAGGATAGTTTTAGTTGAATGTCTTCTCGTACTCAGTCTTGAATAGATTTATTTAGTGCTAATTCATATAAACAATAACATATAGCATAGGACACAGTTTCAAAACCAGCAGCAAACATTGCAACAGCATTTGCTACAATTTATGTTTCAGTGAATTTTTCTAAAACAAAAAAAAAAAAAATCCTACAAATTTATTGATATTTTTAATTTATAAATGTTTAATGAAAATAAATATTTTACCAGTTTTAGATAAATCTGCATTCAAAACTAAATCATTTCTCACTTGTATTAAACATTGGAAAATATCGTTTCTGACTATTTTATTTTCTAGTCTATACGTAATCGTTTTTTTTAAACATCTCGTGTAAAAATTTGGTGGCCTCTGTCGGAAAATCCTTTATTCTTATGACTTTCAAAAGTGCAGGAGCAATCATCAAACACAATTTTTTGAAAACGTCCTTAGTTAAGGTTCAAATAAGGTTTTGCCATGTTTAAGAAATAGGGTTTCGTCATCTTTTATGGAGTTTAGCTTTAGTCCAAAAGTGCAAGTGCCGATGACGTCGGTCGAATATTTTCCTATGATGTCCCTTACTTCTATTTCGTTGTCGTTTTTAATTAGTTCTATGTCAATGGTTTTCATTAATTCATCGCGGCACTCCTTGATCTGATCGTACGTCATCTTGAGCTTTCCCAACGTGAAAGAGGGGCTCAATTTGTTTCTTATTATTTTCCTTTGAGGATTTTCCATGAAGAACAGGTGGTTCGACAACGGTTCGGCCACGAAATCCGAGTAAACGCCACGATCGGGGAAAGACGAAAAGTTTTTTATCAACACGTCGTTGATTATTTCTGGATCGTGAACCATCAAATATGGTGTAATCATCTGGAACACTCCCACGTATTTGTGACCGGTGAACTCGTGATAGATTTTGTTGTAAAAATCCAGCGGGTGGTCTTTTCCCAAAAGCCACATTCAATTAGTTTCCAAACAACGGAATTGGTTTAATTTAAGGCACGTTGAGCTTTTCCCATTTCTTAAAGGTCGATACGCAGAAATAATAGGTAATCGTAACTATTATTGTACATGGCGTGATGACATGTATCCACCAATTGGTGAAAAACATGGTCATATAAAAAGTATTTGATAAATAAAAAAGTACCTATTGAAACTAACAATGTTCAATTCAAATTATTAATCGGGCACTGGTTAAACGGCTCTAGCTCGATATATGTAATACATGGAACTTTAAATATCTTCTGTGTTCACCTGCCTAATATCATGACAAAAATAATGGTATTTAGAAGAAGATAGGCTAATTTAAAAATGGTTAAATTTGTTTTTTTTTATTCATCGGATTTTAGTACGGTTGGGTTAGGATTTTGTATTAACTGATTATATTAATCCACCTTAGGTGGAATTAAGTTAAAACGAAAAACTTGGTATAACTTTGATACTTCAAAATTTTAAATAAAATATGTACATTACATATTATAGAAATAACAAAAAAAAAAAAACGAGCGAAAGTGTCATTAATGGGTGGCTGCTCTCATCAAACGTAACATGTTATATATAATTTATTGTAAACTGTTATTATTATTAATATTCATTTGTTTTGATACCTTATATGTATATTCTGTATCACATTTACCTATTGTGCCTAAGGTATAGATTGTAAATATCTCTTAAAAAAAAAAAAAAAAAACTTTGATATTCTAGAGTTAAATCATACACTTACGTACAAACAGCACGGGGTCCGTGATCAACCGCCGTGCCGGTAGACTGCCTATCCGATAATATACTACTGCGAAATGCAAATCAGAATTTTTATTCTGGACAGCGGAAAATGTATGATAAGTTTTGAAGACCATACACCAAATATTAAATAACGAATTGAACAAAGTTTGAGTCGTATAGAGGTGGTACATTTAACGGGCAACGAAGTGTACATGATCAGCTAGTTATTTATCAAGTATCGTAATTTGGATTTGATTAAAAGTAACTCATTGAGTTTGTATCAATAAAAATCAGTTAAATTAAAAATTAAGAGGTGAAAATTAAATTTCAAAAAATTAAGTTAAAAATTTAAAATAAACTCAACTTTTAACTTAACTTTACTTTAGTTTACTTAAAAGATTGGATTCACCATGTTATTTTAATACATCCATTACAGTGTCCCACTCATGGACGAAGCACACTATAGAATACAGTACCTCGAATACAGTAATATTAATATTTTTCACATACTGAAATGGATTATGAAACATAAAAAATAATCATAACTTAGAATATTCTGTTTAGAAAAATATAGGAAATGTGATATTCTAGTCATTTATTCATAGATATATAAATACCGTTGTTATTTTAAAGTCCTTAACTTAGTTTTGGCATAAAAAAAATATTTAAAACCATAATCCTGATCTTCATTGGTTTAACAACGTGTTTTAAATAAATATACAACATAATATAACATATTACTATATGACATACTTCCAGACGAAAGTTAACTATTATAAATATATAGGTTAGTTTTAAATAAAGATTGGTAGTTAGGTTGGTACATTTATAAAAAAAACGTTTGAATAATCATTTTGGAAATTGTATAGACTGTTGTTAATGTAGGTAATAGTTATAAATCACAAAGTCTGTAAATATATAAACATAAATACTTAGGTACTTACATCAAAACATTATAAAAATAAGTTATAGCATACAATAAGTATCAATCCATGTAAAATGTATTTTAAATGTTTGTTTGACTAACTCTTATTTAATAATATGATAATTTTATTATAAAGCATTTAGGAATACATTTAATGATGCACTTAGTGATATATTCTTGGATACAAAAATAAAATAAAGATTGTTTGATTTTCTCAGGTTAAATAGTTATATAGTTAAATAAGTTAAAAACTAATTGTAAAATTAAAACATGAGTGTTTTTTTTAGTCCATAAATATCTAATCTTAGTTCAATAATTAATTCTTTTAAATCTTAGCCAAATTCCATGGTTTGGCATCAATGTTAAAACTTTTTTAGAATATTTTAAAGGAATTTCTGTTTTAGCACATGGAAATACTTCAAATTTGGTCAATATTTCAACTAAAGCCAATTTCATTTCCATCTCTGCGAAACGTTTTCCTAGAATTTTAAAAATATGAACATTTATTAAGTATACAACGAGTTCCATTTAAAAATTATACCCACCTATACAAATTCGAGGTCCATCACCAAAAGGGAGATAAATACCATTTGGCCGCTTTGCTTTTTCTTCAGCCGAAAATCTTTCAGGAATAAACTTTTCAGGGTCCGTGTAATACTTGCTATCGTAGTGCAATGCATAAATTGGAATTATTATTTTTTGGCCCTTTTCAATTATTAATGAACTGTTGGGTACTCGATATGTTTGTGATGCTTTTCTGAACAAAGCAACCAGTGGAGGATACTTACGGAGTGTTTCTAAAAAGTGTAAGAATTTTTTGAGTCAATTTATTATTAGATTTATACTGAAAAAATAAATAGTCTTGCTTTATTTGAAAACTTTTATTAACCTACTTGGATAATTGATAAGCGAGAATATCAATTTTCAAAAATAGATAATATAGAACAAATCGTTATTAAATTTGATAAATATGATTATTTTCCTAATAGTACTAATAACTGCAGGGCTTCAAACCAGTTACCGGTTCTTACCCAATACTGATAATTTCCCTTAATTTTAAACCTATTTATCTTCCCGGTTATCGGTTACCGGTTACCATGTCTATTTTTCAGTTAACATAAAACGTGATAATAACATAATATGTTTTGACTGGTTAAGAACCGATTACTGATATTTATTAACACCGATTAACCCTGAGAACATTCCTCATAAGTTGTTGTTAATGGAAATTATAAAAAAAGTTGAGCGTAAATCCAGAATAATTTTTTATGAGCGTCCAAAGTTAAAATGTTGACAAAAATCATTAAAATCAAGTACAAATTGGCTAGTTTTTTGGAATTAGAAATTCGTTAAAGTTTTTCTATTTGTATATAAGCTTTTAAAATGTAATACAAGATTCCCCTTAAGTTTTCCTACGTTTAACATAAGACTTTATTGGAAAGTAAAATTAAATTTTTACGAACGATTAAGTTTAATTTTAGTGTTTGAGTTTTTTTAGTTAAACATTGCATATTTAATCGTAAATTAACAAATTTTTTAGAATGATTTTCTTATTTTGTTGTTATTCAAAAACTAGCTAATAACTGTAAATACTTTTAAATTACTCAAAATGTTTATTTTATCACTTCCTATACCTAATACAATTTTAAAAATATTTCGACACGTTTTAAACTGTTAACGAAAATTCTTAAATTTGTGTAGTTTTTTTTTTCCTATAAACATCAATTAATTTTATTCGTATGGACAATAGGTACGCTTAAAAATATAATACAATACAACTCAAGTTAAAAAATATTAAATTTTTTTTAAAAAATATAAATGTATAAATATTTCAAAAAAATCGTTTGCGGTTACTTAAACTTTTCAAGTATATTAGTAAGTACATATTTCAAAATATGAAAATATTATACATTTAACTTACCGGCGACCATATTGGTTATAACAATATAGATATAATATATAATAAAATCCTAGGCTGACAAACCGTTCAATCTCAGAATAGTTTTTCGTGCACAATGACATAGTAACATTGAATTCAAATTTAACACCATCCACTACAGTAACCCACTGTTACAACCAGTTACATCCAGTACTGTACAGCCGATAAACACCTTATTATCCGCTCTCTTAAGTTAATTTTTTTTTTTTGTTTTTAGGGCATTTTTGTTTATTAAATATTTCATCGACGTCTTATCTCTAGTTATAACCTACTATTACAATTACATAAAAAACATTCTACCCCTTTAAGGATTTTTAAATAATTTAGTATTATTGAATAGTATTATAAGAAAAAGATCACCTGCTATAACCATATCCAAGTAATTAAGATCAATCAAAAGTTCATGGTTAATTTGTCCGTCATTATTGGATAGTTTAAGTTGAATGTCTTCGCGTACTCTGTCTTGAATAGATTTATTTAGTGCTAATTCATATAAACAATAACTTAAAGCAGAGGACACAGTTTCAAAACCAGCCGCAAACAATACAAAAGCATTTGCAACGATTTGTGATTCAGCAAATTTTTCTAAAACAACATTTATGAATTTTACAAACAATTAATTTTTTAATTTTACTTATTTAAATAAATAAATATCTCACCATGTTTAGGTAAATCTGTATTCAAAACTAAATCATTTCTCGCTTGTATTAAACAATGAACGAAGTCATTTCTGACTATTTTATTATCAAGTCTGTACGTCATCGTTTCATTAAACGCCGCGTGAAAAAAGTCAGTTGCGGCCGTTGGAAATTTTTTCAGTCTTACGACTTTCAAAAGTGCAGGAGTAATCATCACACACAATTCTCTGATAAGGAGTCTTAGTGAAGGTTTGAATATTAATTTGCCGTACTTACGAAATGGGGATTCATCATCGTTTATGGCGTTCAACTTGAGCCCAAAAGCGCAAGTGCCGATGACGTCAGTCGAATAATTTCCCATGATGTCCTTTACTTCTATTTCGTTGCTGGTTCTATTTAAACCTATATCGACGTTTTTCATCAATTCGTCGCCGCACTCTTTGACCTGATCGTACATCATCTTAAGCTTTCCCGACGTGAAAGCGGGGCTCAATTTGTTTCTTATTATTTTCCATTGAGGGTTTTCCATGAGTAACAGGTTGTTCGTCAATGGTTCGGCCACGAAATCCGAGTAAATACCACGATCGGGAAAAGACGAGAAGTTTTTTATCAACACGTCGTTGATTATTTCTGGATCGCGAACCATCAAATACGGCGTCCTCATCTGGAACACTCCTACGTATTTTTGACCGGAGAACTCGCGGTAGATTTTGTTGTAAAATTCCAGCGGATGGTC